CTCTCTGGGTGCGGCCCTCCAGCCAATTTGCAACCCATCTGACTGTGTAGGTGTTGACACCACAGTTGTCTAATTTTTTAATGAGGATGGGGTGAGAGACAGAGTCGAAGCCTTGCTAAAATCCAGAAAGACTACGTCCACCGCGACACCTGTGTCCAAGGCTTTTGTGACCTGGTCATAGAAGGCAACCAGGTTGCTCTGACAGGACCTGCCTCTAATGAACCTATGTTGATTGCCCTTAAGCATAATCTCCCCTGCTGGTCCCTTGCAGATGTGCTCCTGGATAGTTTTCTCAAAGAGCTTCCCCAGGACTGAGGTAAGACTAATGGGCCTATAGTTTCCTGGGTCCTCTTTCCTCCCTTTTTTTAAAATGGGGACCACATTGGCCCTTTTCCAGTTCTCTGGCACCTCAACAGAGCACCACAAGTGCTTATAACGCTGTGCCAGGGGTCCTGCAATGACCTCTGCCAATTCCCTCGGCAGTCTGGGGTGGAGATCATCAGGACCTGCTGATTTAAACAAGTCTAGTCCCTCCAGAAGTTCCCTGACTAGGTCCTCACTGACCCTGGGCCTGGCTGCTCCTCCCCTGGGACCGTCCAGATTCCCAGTGTGGGGTATATCCCTGTCCCTGCTCAGAAAAATGGAGGCAAAGAATCTGTTAAAGAGATTAGCTTTGCCATCTGGTGCTACCACCAGATTACCAAGCATGTCCTGCAGAGGCACCACATTACTTGGTACCTTCTTTTTACCTCCTATGTATTTTAAAAAGGACTTCTTGTTATCTTTGATCTGGGTCGCTAGTCCCAGTTCCATGTCTGCCTTAGCCTTCCTAACAGCCCCCCTACAATCTTGAGCAATGGAAGTATAATTCAGAGCTCTATTCAGTTGCCTTTTAACTTAGTTTTGTGGGTAGATTTTTTTCCCCATTATCATCTTCCCTGCTTCTAAAGATTGAGGTAGTTAGCTGGGTTAGTCTGAAGTCAGGCAGAAACCAGGGTACAGTTCCACCTTATAAACTAATGAATTCAGAGATTCATAAGCTTTCAGAAGCAACAGCTCACTTTGTCAGGTGCTATGAAAGAACTTTCTGCTCCCGGGGCATCTGTTCATAGCATCTGAAGAAGTGAGATGTTGCTTATAAGAGCGTATGTATCTCTGAATTTATGAGTCTACAAGGTTTAACTCTACCCTGCTTTCTGCTTTTAAAGAGCCGTCTAAGCTAAATTGCTGCATATTCCATCATTCCACCTATAATTCTTTGGTGTGTAGTCAAAGGAGTTGTATGCAAACTGTGCAGTTTACATATGGTGAAGATCACTCCTCCTGAGTTTATCAGCTTTGGTATAGAAGAATCCCACTAAGGAAAATATGGATTCAAGGTTCTTACTCAGGGAAATGAGTCAATAGAGTATCTGCCGAAGTGAGAACTACTCAACTGGGTTTCATATGAAATTATTTTTTTTCTAAATGAAAAAAGTACAACAAGAGCTAATAGAGAAATATGTTAGGAAATTCAAAAGTCATATATGTTAGCTTGACATATCTGTAGATGTGTCTCTCCATGTATGTGCCGAGTAACATTGACTGGAATAGACATGTAACATTTTCTCCTGTATCTGGAGAGGTAGTTTGGATAATATTTCTTCTAACTGCTGAATTTTTTGTCATGTTACACACTTAACATTTTAGATTTTCTTTTTTGGAACACATGAGAAATTGATCACTGAAGAAGGTCTTCTCAGCACACTTCACTCCTCAGCACACTATGAAAGATGTGGAGAAAAACTTAATGACCTCTTCTTGTCTTCTGCTTTCACTGAAACGAGTTTCTAAAATTATCAGATAAAGTCTTCTGATAAATATTAGCACCTGCAGAAAAAACTCTTAATTAAATACTTGAAAGTTCAAAGGTTTCTACAAAATTCAGATGATCTTATTAATTAATTTCTAGTGGAGGATGGTAAACCAGCACTTCTTCCTATCTTTGCGAACCTTTTATACTTCAGTTTCCATTTGCTAACTAAACAGAGATTGTTAATTAGGCAAGATAGTCCATGCACCTGCATCACTAATGCAACATAATAATTCAGTTCTATCAGTAATTTATAAACATCTGAAATGAGAAGTACTTATGTATTTTCATTATTTTTTTTCAAATTCATTTAATATACATACACTATAACTCTGTCTTTTATCAATACACCCTAGGAGCCAAGCAGTTGTTAACACAGTGAAATTATTGCATCTCCTGCCAGAGTGTGAACTAAATAAGAATGGGACAGGTAATCGTTGTAGTAGTTTTGAGGCAGCCTGTTTAATTTAAGGAGAGTTGAAAATATCATTTAAAATATATTTAATGTTATAGTTTTAGCAATTAATTAACAAGTCCTGATTGTTGCAAAGGAAAGTTTCCATATGTGACTCAAATTAATGCTGTCTTCCTAGGACTGAAAGAAGCCTGCAATAGTAATGCAAAAAGAAAAATATACCCCCATTTGTGTCTTTGATGTTAACTCCTCAGTCAAAAGATGAAATATCACCCTTTCTACCCATTTCACTGCTGATCATTTAAACAGAAGCATCCATGTCTCTCTCTGGTAGTTCAAGAGAGGGTCATTCGGCCCATTCGAAGGGAGGTAGATCATTCCGTTCTTTCTCAGAGGGTGCATCTACACATTGTCCTACAGGAACATTGTTACTGCACCATGTTTAACTACTTCCTTTTAGAAGCCGTAAAGCATGGCGCAGGAACTGCCTGCACTGCACCATACGTCTGGTGCATAGTTATTTTTAGCAGCTACTTCACTGTAGCTGCACACTATAACAGGGGAGTGCACCACTACAGCAAAGTAGCTGCTGACCATGTGCAGACACCTATGGATGCTACGTCACCTTAGCATGTTGCTATGGCAATGAAGCATCACGTGTAGACACCCACAAAGTGTAGTAGGATTAGACAGCCAAAGATCAGTAACTTTATGAAACAGATAGTGGTAGTTTAGCTAGAGAATTCAACAGAATAAATAGCAAAGAACCATGAAACAGAAATGGAACTCATTCCAATTGAACAGATAGACCAACATAAAAGCTCAATTGGAAGATCAGCCCATTCACTTGTCAAAAATTGGGCTTGTGAGCAATCTTGTTTGCTCACAAGCCCTAGTGTCAAGATTTGGGAGCATCACACATTTGCTGAAACATTTTATATAGGTTAGTGCGCATTAACAATATATTGCATATGGATGAAGCTAACAGAAAGAGAGGAATGGGATTAGATGTAGATAAAATGGAAATGTAAGATGAAGCACTTGTTGGGCAAGGAGCAAATTTGGTTAAATTTATTAAATTTGGGATTGGGATTAAATATCAGGAGGAATCCTGGTTTTCTCTGATTAAAAAAAAATGTCCCTCAATTTTCAGATTAAAAAAAGTAACCCCAAATCTACATTTTTCCATTATCAGAATGAAAAACCGTGTGTGTGTGTGTATGTATTAGTGGCATTTCATTTTAATCATGAAAAAAATGTGGGTATGGGGTTACTTTTTAAAATCCAGAATTGGGGATTTTTTTATCAGAGAAAACCAGGATCCCTAAATATCAGATTCTAGCTTAAAGGAGGCCTCTTTGGAATGATTCTGTTAGAAAAGTATGAGGGAAGCCTCAGACTCAAATACTGATCCAACCTACTCTGCCTCTAGTTCATCTCCCTCCAGTCACTAAACACAAAAAAACACACATGCATATATATGTTCACATACCCACATACACAAAGTTATACACAATTATAATTAATATGATTGAGAGGCAAATGCATGTTCAATCTTAAGTATATATTTATAAATTGTATAGACTAAAGTTATGGAGACAGACTTGAAGGGAGACATCTCCAACATTGCTAAAATGTAAGTACAAAAGACACGTCATTGGATGGATATTGATGATGTTGTTTCAGTAATGACATCATCCATAGACTCCTAGTGTCTTTGCTTGGCTACTCTATAGTGATCACAACATAAATTGCTTGTCTTGTTTGACTTCCTTGTTCACCAAAGTTGAGCAGATTGTGGCCGTTTTCAACGCTTCTACCAGACAAAAAGCTTGGGACCATTTCTCGAAAGCTCAGCGAAAGAACATAGACATTTGGCGAAAGCATTCTGAGGTTGGTGGTTTTATTATTACTTTTTACCCATCATCTCACAGCTGGATTGACACAGAACAAGTGTGACTGTAGCTGGACATACTGCATTCCACAATATTTATGACCAGTTTTAGCAGTTAATCAACTAACCATTATACAGTCTCATTTACAGTATGAATTGCTCCCATTGCTCCCATTACAATAAAATTTGTTAAATATCACTAGGATGGAGAGCAATGTGTTGATGTTTTTCATACAAGAAATGGGAACTTATTGGAGGAATATGTTAATTAATTAACATAATGAACTGAAGTGGTGAAATTAGTCAAGATATTTTAAAATATCTATAGAATTATATTTTTATATGAAAAAATAGCTTTTTAAGAATACAGCAAGATCTGGTGGAAAAAAGCAAGGTATAATGCAGATTATTTTTTCTAGTTGCATTATTATATGGACATAATAAGATAAGTTTGCTAGGGAATAAAATAAAATTTTCTTTAAAAACATTATTAAGGTTTATTCAGTCCAGAACTGGGATGTAGTCATTCCCATCTCTTCAGTGTCCTTATTTTAAAAAGTAAATACTCACATTAACTCAAAGTTCATGGTTTGCAAACACAATAAATGTAACAATAGTTGACATTGCAGTAGCTATATGAAACCATGCCTGTGCATCTGTCATATGCATGAGTGTAAGAAATGAAGGAAAAGAGGTCTGAGATTCCACTTTCCTTTGGTAGCAAAGGAAGTAGTAGCCCCACTTTACATTTTTGGTCATCCAGCTTTCGTTTTTAATTCAGTAGATACGCTATGAGCCTGTATTTTAAAAAGTAAGTACCACTGTCTTTGTTTTCTTTCTTACTTTATATGAGTAATTTATATCAAGTTGCTTATCTCCATGTAGTACAGTATGTTAATTGTTAACATTTCAGTCTTCTTAATGATTTCCCCTGTCTCAAAACAAAAACTTTAGAAGGTAAGATGCACTTATTTAATTATTTTGTAGTACACTTGTAAAATAAGTGTTGTACACTTAATTTGAGAAACACAAAAGTGCCTTAATATAAATCATGTGGGTAACATTTTAAGTGCCCATTAACTAATGCTAAATTATAGTTGAATACCAATGGCACTAGATGTAACATCCACATGAATACCAAATGAATTCTTTATTATCATTGCTATTATGGTGAATACCAAATGACTTCACAATAATGGGACACTTAAAATAAAATGTTAGCATAATTTACTGGTAAGAGCTATATTTTGCATTTTGTTCACTAATGCTTCAAATGAGTGGCAAATAAAGTCTTTAACTGAAAGTTCGAGACATTGGGGCTGTTACCTATCTATTTTCTTAGAAAGGTGTGAAAACAACATTTTCTGTTAATTTACATTCACTGTATTAAAAGTGTCCCTTCTTAAATCAGCTTTTCATAAAGGGATGTATCATAGCATTCATTTGCTAGCTTCTAAATCTTTAATAGAATGAATTGCATAAAAGCAGGACTTTCCGTAAATGTTAATTCACTAAACATCTTTGCATCTTTAAATATTATTGCATTTTGTTTTCCTTTCTAAAGAAAGGAAACAATAAAAATAATTTAGAAGGATATGAAGCCTCTGGTTGAACCAAATTATTTAGAAAGCTCTTATGTCACAGGTGTAAAATGCTATGCAAATGTCAACAAACGGCTTTGTTGAATTTAAATCATATTGTTTGACTAGTCCATGCTTTGCTAATTCGCTTAAATTTACCTTGACACCTTCCCTTTGCCCATCTTCTCACTATGTAAGCTTTGCAAGCAAGCCAAATGAAAGGCCTTCCTAAGGTTCCCCGTGATGTCTTATTATTTGAAAAATTGACTGTACTATTAAATTTCATGATCCCAACTTTTTAATTGGATTGTCACATTTTGCAACTTAAATGCCTTGCTTTTCTATACAGTTGAATTTCCTGTGTGGTTGCCAACTTCTGTAGTTGAACCTTGAATAATAGCTTGTTTGGTGCTCAAGTTGTAAGTTCCGGCAATTCTGCTTTTGGTAAATTCACGTAAAACTGTACTTTGCAGGTTCTGTAGGGAAAGCTGAACTACACACTTGAAGAAAAGAAACAATGCAAGAAAATGACAACTGATAGTTAAAAGGCATCTGAATGTTTCAGAACATGCATTGGGCTGCTGCTTAATCCCCTGGGTTGTCATTTTAATGAGAATCCTAGCATGATCTCATTTTAACAAGACTGCAAGAGAAGAGCTGCAGCCTGAGAAAAGGAATTAAAGGGCATTTCCACAGTTCTGAGCTCTGGCTAGTTAACTGTAGGAAAAAAAATCCCTAAAAAAAGGTGTGGGGTGCTTTACTGCTCTTGCATCTAACTATACCTTTCTGTGAATATATTTGCCATTCAGATCATTCCTGTTTGATGGAAATATCTGCTGGCTTAAAGAGAACATTGCTGCTTTCTTTCTAATTATTTTGTGTTTTAAAGTGTATTTTCACTCTGAGTGTTGGCCTGAGTCCTAAAAAAAATTGTTATTGTTTTTTCTCGCAGTTACCATAAATAGTAAGTAGTTCAGAAGGGCATTTGATGCAGTCCTGTTACTTATCTGCAATTGCAGCTGAAGTATTTAGCGCTCTATTAATGCCACTTCATAAAGAGTTCTCTGGAGCTTTGTCTTGATCAGCAGATCTGCTCTGCATGAAGTCGGACTATAGTCCTTGTTCAACCAGTCCCTCTTCAAATTTTGCATTATGAAGAAGTTGAAAAGATTTGTAGTTCAACAAGATAAGCAGTAAGGCGGGAGGAAGTTGAACACTCAGTCACTTTGCATTACAAGATGCTTCAAATGACACCAGCTAACTACAAACCCAGATTTGTTAAAAGTGAGTGAGTTTGTGGATCTCATAGTTAGAAAACATAATTTGAGGCAGTGAGTTTGGGAATTAATAAAGTCACCTACAAGTTAATAATTTATCCAGAAAGAGTACATTGATTTGTAAAGGCTTTTTTTACAAGTAAATCTTCTCCCTTTGGGAATATTATTTCTTAATTGGCCACTGTAAAAATGTTTGCGTGGTCAGTTGAAGAATCTGGTATTGGCCACTGTCAGACAGAATCCTGGATTTGATGGACCACTGATCTGATTGTTTGGCTAGAGTAGAACTGTAGTTAAAGCTTTTTAACGGTCCTTTATCACTTATAGCTCTTATCTTGCACATGCTTAGGGTTGTGTTTGTGTTCTAGTTGATTGCTTTTAGGCCATTACAGGTTTTTCTTGAAGAGGACTGGAGAGCATGGAGGCAGAAAGGGATCTTGGAGTCATTATTGACTCCAAGATGAACATGGTTGGCAGGGCTAACTGGACCTTGTT